TACATCCTTCTTTTAACAAGAATATCTCGCTTTCTTGTTCCGTCTATGACGGATTGGGTATAGTTCTCGCGATGACCCGCGTTCAGAAATCAGTGCACGTTACTGATAACCACCCGCTTCTACGATTAGTTTGCTGAAGGTTTCTAATTTGATGAGCTTAGTGAGACCCTGAAGTGCTTCAAACCGTGCCAGTTGGTCTGCGCTATAAACTTGTCGCAGTTCTTAAGTCAGAGGGAGGATCGCCCACCTCTATCTATGTGAGCGCCTCTACAGTACCTGCGTATCCCTAGCAATCATATGATATAAAGTTCATCTCAGTCACAAATCACCAGTTAGGAAAACTGATGTTCAGATAGGCGCTCTTCTTGCCCTTCTTCCTTATTCATTGCCGACTCTAAGATAGCAGCTATAGTACGCATTCTATTTAGGTTTACAGTCAACTTGCCACCAGGAAGACTCGCCACCAGCTTTGATTTCTTCTGCCATCTGCAGATTCACCTCTCTCTCACTTTATGTCTTCGATTTTTACGAAGAGGATACTGGCATTTACGAACCCGAAGGTCTGAATCTCACACTAAGTTGTGCACGATGTTTGAGGTACATCGTGAAATCGCGGCCTTCGTAATCTCCAAATAAGCCAATACGCGCTAGAATAAGCTTCATCTCGGACGAAACGCATGTTTGGGATACATCGACGTCTCTCAAATGTTTTTTTTTAAGCTGTATACCCACGAATTTAGAGGTATGAGCTGTTGCTGTCCCTGGCCAGCGCGAGAAAAATAACATTTGGTTCTACAGTTAGTTGCAAATGAACAAGACAACTGCACCAATTTGACTCTATCAATTCGAGTTTTAGGTTGAATTGAGGGCTTTTTAGACACTCGATTTCTTATATGGCATCACTATGAAGACGTAATACAACTGATACACCTACACTACATAGGATTAATAATGTCTGTTGCGCTGTTGCGAGAAGGAGGAAAATATTACCGGAAGTGTACGCTCTTTTTAAAAAGAGTTCCAGAGACGTTTCAGAGATGTCTATCTTTGATCGGCTGTCACAAAAAAATGACCCCCACTTAAATTTACTGTGAAAAATGAACTTACCATCTCCTTGTTGAAAAAATTGGAATTCATTTGACCGATACGCCGGTTGTTTGAATTTTGCTTTTTTCCTCGGGCTGCTATGAAACAGTTCATAAATTGACTAATAAGTAAAGTGTTTTGAAATAGCGTTCGGGATTTGCCTTTTTTTCTGCGTGCAAAGTAAGGGTAGACAAAGTTTTTAAAACATTTGACTAGAATTTCATGGAGTTCACCTCGATAGTTTTCGTCGGCCAGAGTCAAGACGCGCCTCGCTAAGCGACATCGCCCTCTAGTAAAATAATTTTCTAAAGAATAAACGTGGCGAGCGTGAGGAAACGCACATTTTTCTCATCATTGTGATCAAAGCCCAATAATGTACCTAAATTGGTACTAACGATATCAAACCATTGATTATGACAGGGTGAGCTTAGTTTTTCTGTCGAGGTCGACGTGACTTCACATTAAAAGCATTTTTGACGGAACAAACTAGTGAGCATCACTGCACGAACTAAGAAAGAAAAAATTGTATTTATCTCCCACGCGTTTCGTCTGACAACAGTAGACTTCATCAAGGATTTTTTCAAGTAGGGTAAATAAGCTTGTTCATATACAAATAGTAAATAAGTTGTCTCTTGCTATTGAAGCCAGTGGATAGAATTCGCCAGGTGCGCCTACGGTGTTATACATGAGTGACATTTTCCGGACGTTACATGTACGAGTAAGTGATCCGTTTGAGGGTCACAGATTTAGTGTACATATTTCACTCCTCAACATCACCCAATGTCTCTAGTTTACAGAGGTCTTAGAACGTTTCATTATATGGAGTTGCCTTCTGCGGGTAGAAGGCTACAAGCGAATTTCTCAGGCGAATTGCCTTTGATTTCTCAATTGATGTTGTCGCAAACACAGTTTTTGGGAGTCACGAGACAAAAAAACTTATCAGGACCTTGTTTCATTTGCTAATGGAAATAAATAGCAAATAAAAACACATTTTCTTGTGAAATAAAGTCACAAATGACGGGGGTTCTCCGAAACAAATAGTGATAGAAAAGGATTTCAGTTCTGGTCAATATTGACTTTTCATGGCCTACTTCCAAATCTGAGGGAACGCGCTGAGGGAATAAAAAAACATAAATGTGTGATAATGCAAGCAAGAGAATGAAAATCCAAATGAAGAAAAAGGAGAAAACACAGGAACCCGTGTTGCAGCGTGCAGATATCTTTTGAGCCAGACCTACACACCTAAGCCCAACACCACCCAGAGAAACTCGAAAGAGTCCTGTATATGAACTAGCTCGCACGTGCACGCAGGAAAGGCCATGACAATCAGCGAAAATAATAGCAAATGCAAATGACATTTGAAGTCAAAAAACAGGAAAATAAGATAACAGAAGGATTAAGAACTTTCTAGAAGTGTCTCCTTGAAAAAAAAAGATGAACAAATTTTACTTCTCATGAAAGGTCACGCAGTAACCCTACAAATACTACAACTACAATACTCTACGTGGATTTCTTGATGGTGGAAAGTGAAAAAAACATTTTTCAGTCTATTTTCTGGAAACATGACGTAGTTAATGAATTTATGGGGCTACTGGTACTGGTTCCTACCAAATAAGGGGGGCAGAGTTTCCCGTCATTCGCGGTATGGAAAAGCCGAAGTTGTTACACTCGGGAACTTGTACGTCAACAAGCAGGCGTTATGTGACTTTAAAATCTCCTCTCCTGTTACAGTTTCCTTATTGTAAACTGTGTGATGATAATAATAGACGATCAAAGTATAGGCTAATGAATGGTTTGTTCTGTACAAGAGCCCTATGTCCTGTATTTAGCAAATCTTCAAAGTAGTAAACGACTGAAGAAAGAAACGCTATGATTTTCCCATTGATTTTTCGTCTACATGCATCTCTCTAAACGTGAAATTTTCCATTCCTACAAAAAATCTCGAAAGGTTTTCGCATTTTTCACCTTTCTTGATCAAGCATCTTGTATAAAGAGCTAAAAAATGTAGGTTTATTTTGTCAAGTGACCGCCTAGAGCAAGAATTGCGGGATAGGTGTAGTTGAGAGAAACTTGTCACAGTCGCAGATTTTAAAAGACATCCAAGACAATACGGTAGTGCCCAAAGATTTTTTTGATGATTTTCAGAGATGAAATGATGGGTTATAAAGGGTAATTAAGATTAGTGTTGTAGCTTTCTGGCAACGGGAGATATTTGACCTCAAAGTTGTCAAATATTTGGATGAATCGAAAAGTCTGAAAACACAGTCGTATATTTGCCTCTGTTGATTGACAAGCCGTAGATCAAACTGACTGATACTCGCGGCGCCTATTAACTGAGGATGTTAAAATATGTGTGCAAACCCTCAGAGTAATCGGTTAAATACCATCGCAGTGAGAGCTTCATACATTTTACCTATTTGAAGCGATTTCCTTGGTGAAAACCAAGAAAAACCGGGGGGGAGGTGGTTTTGTTTTGTTTTGTTTTGTCTTTTTTTTCTTCTGCTCTGTAATGATTTCAATGGTTTCAGGTTCTTTTCTCAGAATTGAGCTACAGTAATAGTATGCTTCTTTGTGTTGTTGCCTACAGGAGCCACTGCTTGTGTTGAATTGAAGAGATTTGAAGAAGCAATCAGTTGGTGTGATAAGGGACTAGCTGTATCCTTTGAAGGAATCTTTCATTTTTAACCGTGGGTATAATGGAAATGGTTTCCATAATTTGATGTTTCAAGGGAGAAAATACAAAGAAGGGTATTAATTATGATGAGAACTTGTCAGCTCACATACTTTAAGTGTGTGTTAGAAAGAAACGTAGGAAAAGTTATTACCTCATGACTTATTAAAGATATTACTCCTTTTAGCCAATTTGACTTAGTTATACTATCCATGCCAATAACTGCTACATTAGTTTAGATAACCCTTTAATTCACAGACCAAGTTTGTAATTATCCTTACTGTTAACCGTACGATTTTTGTAATGTTAGTTCAAAGAGTTCAGCATTGGATCAACTAATTATCCCCAAATTGATATTTTTTTTACTCTCAACACTGATCTGATTGATATTGTATTGCTATTGTAAGGAGAAATTCTCTCTTGGTCACTCATGGGAGTTAAAGGGTTAAAAGACTAATATTCATCCAGTTTATACATGATACGTGGGTAGATGATCTCTCTAAAACAAGCCAGAACAAAAAGCTCGGTAATGTTTAGATATCTTATGCAGATTTTCATGCCTTCGACCTTTTTCCACTACTTAGAGACTCGGAAACTTTCGTCCTGCTTTCCTATGGACAAATGAAAATTTTAAAGACACGTATTAGTGTTGTAGACTCATTTCTTCCACTGTTGTAAAACATTCGTCTGATGTTAAAGCTATATTAATTTAAAAATTGAGCAAGTGCTGCTCAGTTTTTGGAAACTAGGGATTAAATTTAGATATTTCGTGTTAAATTTTTAGGCTGCACACTGAAAAAAGATTTTTTAAAAGTAAATTTACTTCATAACTGACTTTAAGACTGAATGTTGATAAAACATCTATCTTTCATGCAAGCCCTCCTAATGGGCCATTTTATAGTTGTGTACTTAGTTGCCAAGCCTTTGATTTGGAGTAAAGCTGAAGATGACCTTGTTGTGATAGAGACCAGTATCTAGAAACGATAATAACAAAGTTCTTTGCTTTAAATAGCAGCAATGTTTTTATCATAACAAGGTCACCCTTAGCCACACTCCTGTTCAAAGGCTTGGAACCAAGCACGCAAATGTTAAAATGCACTATCATAAATCAATATGATCAGAAGAATAATATTTTTTTGTTTTTTCCACATTTTTAACCCTTAACATAAAAAAGATTGAAAAAAACAATAGGATCTTGTTGTCGTTAAGAATTCAGTCTGTCAGTGAAGTGGGAGATAAGTCCATGGAGGAAAAAGATCCTATTAGTCATGACCACGGTAGTGCAAGTTCAGGTGATGTCAAGAAAGTCATAGGTCTCTATAATCGGGGAGAAGAAGCCATAGAGTACCTCAACCTATATCTTAAAAAAGCTAAAGAAGTAGGAGACAAGCATGGGGAGGGTAACGCTTATGGCACTCTTGGCAATGCTTATCACCGTCTGAGTGATTTCAAAAAAGCCATAGAGTACCACAACCTACATCTTAAAAAAGCTAAAGAAGTAGGAGACAAGCATGGGGAGGGTAACGCTTATGGCAATCTTGGCAATGCTCATGGCCGTCTGGGTGATTTCAAAAAAGCCATAGAGTACCACAACCTACATCTTAAAATAGCTAAAGAAGTAGGAGACAAGCATGGGGAGGGTAACGCTTATGGCAATCTTGGCAATGCTTATTTTAGTCTGGGTGATTTCAAAAAAGCCATAGAGTACCACAACCTACATCTTAAAATAGCTAAAGAAGAAGGAGACAAGCATGGGGAGGGTGGTGCTTATGGCTGTCTTGGCAATGCTTATCATCGTCTGGGTGATTTCAAAAAAGCCATAGAGTACCACAACCTAGATCTTAAAATTGCTAAAGAAGTAGGAGACAAGCATGGGGAGGGTGGTGCTTATGGCAATCTTGGCAATGCTTATGACCGTCTGGGTGACTTCAAAAAAGCCATAGAGTACCACAACCTACATCTTAAAATAGCTCAAGAAGTAGGAGACAAGCATGGGGAGGGTATCGCTTATGGCAATCTTGGCAATGCTTATCACCGTCTGAGTGATTTCAAAAAAGCCATAGAGTACCACAACATAAATCTTAAAATAGCTCAAGAAGTAGGAGACAAGCATGGGGAGGGTAACACTTATGGCAGTCTTGGCAATACTTATCACAGTCTGGGTGATTTCAAAAAAGCCATAGAGTACCACAACCTACATCTTAAAATAGCTAAAGAAGTAGGAGACAAGCATGGGGAGGGTGGTGCTTATGGCAATCTTGGCAATGCTTATCACCGTCTGGGTGATTTCAAAAAAGACATAGAGTACCACAACCTACATCTTAAAATAGCTCAAGAAGTAGGAGACAAGCATGGGGAGGGTAACGCTTATGGCAATCTTGGCAATGCTTATTACGGTCTGGGTGATTTCAAAAAAGCCATAGAGTACCACAACCTAGATCTTAAAATAGCTAAAGAAGTAGGAAACAAGCATGGGGAGGGTGGTGCTTATGGCAATCTTGGCATTGCTTACGGCCGTCTGGGTGATTTCAAAAAAGCCATAGAGTACCACAACCTAGATCTTAAAATAGCTAAAGAAGTAGGAGACAAATCCTCGGAGGCAAAGGCCTACTCTTCATTAGGATGCGATTTTGAGTTGCAAGGTGGACTGCCAAAAGCCGTTGAACATTACCAAGCTAGCATAAACTTATTCAATTCCTTGAGAGTACTTCTAAAATCTAAGGACGAGTGGAAAGTTAACTTTCGAAATCAGTATCAAATGGCGTATACGGGTTTGTGGAGAGTTCTCGTAGATCAAGGTAATATAGATGAAGCCTTATTTGTTGCTGACAAAGGACGAGCTCAAGCTCTGTCCGACCTTATGGAATCCAGTTTTTGTGGTGAAGCAAGTCAGCACAAGGCAGGTGATGAAGATTTAGCAGTCACTGCTAAGTCTACATCGATTTGGATGAAACGTTTTTCAAAAGTTTTAAGAAGCGTTCCATCAAACACTGTCTTTCAGGCAGTGGACGAAGCTAACGTCAATCTTTGGGTTGTGTCCGAAGGAAAACAAGTTCAGTTAAGGCAAAGTAAACTCAAAGGTTTTGTTTTAGAGAATAGTGGATCTAGCCAGTCCTTTGAGTCGTTCATGCTCGGTGTCTATACACAACTTGGTGTTCGTTCTAATGTGAGATGCGAGAATCGATCTTTAGATGCTTTGAGGGAGGGCCGTTCAAAAGTGGATGAGAAAACCAAAGAAGCCAACCCTCAACCTCACATCCAACAAGACAGATGCTTGAGCACTTTGTATGATATCGTTATGAAGCCGGTGGCTGACTTGATTGAAGGGGATGAGCTACTCATTATTCCTGATGGACCCCTGTGGATCGCTCCTTATGCTGCATTGAAGGATGGTAATTCTAAATACCTGTGTGAATCGTTCACAATCCGAGTCGCTCCATCGTTAGCAAGTCTTAGACTCATTACTGATTGCCCAGATGATTATCACAAAAGCAGTGGTGCGTTACTTGTAGGAGATCCGTGGGTATCCGAGGTTACTAACAGCGAGGGAGAGAAAGTCCTCGAGCAGCTTCCGTGTGCTAAAGAAGAAGTAGAAATGATCGGAAAAATTCTGAATATCACGCCAATCACTGGCAGAAAAGCCACGAAACGTGAGGTGTTGAAAAGACTCAGTTCCGTTTCCTTAGTTCACTTTGCGGCACACGGATGTCCGGAAACTGGCGAAATTGCTCTTACACCTGACCTAGACCGAATATCTACTGTGCCTACGGAGAAGGAGGATTACATTTTAACGATTCGAGATGTGTTAAATGTTCAACTTCGCGCCAAACTTGTTGTGCTCAGTTGCTGCCACAGTGGTCGGGGCGAGATCAAGGCTGAAGGTGTGGTTGGCATTGCGCGCGCTTTTATGGGGGCTGGTGCTCGGTCTGTTGTGGTATCCCTGTGGGCGATTGATGACGAGGCTACTCTCGAATTCATGAAATTCTTTTATCAACACCTTGCAGAAGGTAAACCAACAAGCAAGTCACTGAACCTGGCCATGAAAAGCCTCAGAGAATCAGATGAGTTCCACGAAATCAAATACTGGGCGCCCTTTTTGCTGATTGGAGATGACCTCACGTTTGACCTGATGGCAAAGGAAAGAGAAAATTTGAATAGAAAATCAAATAAATGAGAAAATGTTTTTTTTCATCTCAAAAGAATGAAGTAGGAACTTGGAAGGTTTAAATGTTTCTCTATTTTAAACAATTTTTGGGTATTTTTCTTTACTTTTTATTTTTTTGTTAAATGGAACTTGAGATGTGCAACTTTACTATGGTGAAGAAATAAACCAGTCTATTTCATTATATTTTGATCAGTGGAATTGTCTTTTTTATTAACCTTGCTTGCGAAGAGAACGAAATGCAACAAGACCTCTGTTATGAACGAGGTTTCCATTTCCACCAACATGTCACTCAGCTCTGTTCCTGTATTACAATCAGTTGTATGGAAAATAATTTAAAGGTTATTTCTTTTACCCAACCAGGGGCTTTTCCACCGGATTTTAATTACCTTTATGCTCTAAGCTTTTGATAAGCAAAGAAACAATTCGTCATATGCAAAAGTTGGCGAATTTTAATTTCCATAACTTTGATTGAATATGTATGTGAATTAAATACGTGAATTGATCTTAGACAGTTTTCTACATATTAAATTACTTTGTTACAATTTACCTTCATATTTACAAAAAAATTGATTACCATTTTCAACTCAATCCATTTTAATGCAATCTAATTCTGTCAGTGCCAAGATTGCCATTCTAAGCTTAATTTGAAGAAGTAAACATCAGAGATGATGTTATTAAATTTACTAACCATATGTTAGAGACATTACACCTACTTTTAGGGGTGTAGCCAGCCTCTAGTCCCGTAGGCCCGGCCTACAATTGTTTTCTGCCCGCTTGACTTTTACTAAAAGATAATATGACTCTTGCAAATGTTGAAACAAAAATTGAAATTTGTGAGGGAAGAGGCTTACATTTAGTCAAAAAGCTGGCTACAACCCTGTTTTCAATCAAACGAGTCTGGCCAATTTTTGTCCGTTTTACCAAACACTGATCCGTTCGTTTTAAAGAACGACGACAGAGAGGCTAAAAATTGTCCATGTAATCTAAACTAGGAAAGAGGGACGCAGAGTTCACTATAATTAAAGTTTCCATAGATGTGACTTTTAATGTATGTGACATGGAATTTGTTGTTTCTAGTAGGACAATATTTACGCTCATAAATGAGAGAAGCAGTTAACGTAAGCCATGTAGTCCTCAATGGGAATTATTTTGGTAAAAAGGATCATTAATTAATGTCAACCTAGTGCGTAGTTGAAAAGGTTCAGGGCTTCAGGATAAAACTTCTAATTGTTGAAAATCACCTCTTCAAAATTTTTCATCGCTTTAAATGTACCTCAGCATGATTTGAAGATGTCTGATAATATCTTTGTTAGGTTTAAGAATTTATAGTTTGGTATTTAGAGCACACTTTGTAATTAGAACCCGTTATGTGGTCAAAAGTTTTAAGATATACTGTATCAATGATGTTTTAGAAGAAAGCTTTGTAAAATCAATCTTAGTTTTGCAGATTATTGTAACTACCATTGGTAAATGCTGGTATAAAATGTAATAGTTAACCTCACACTTGGTTCAATGTAACTAGGGTTTTAAAGACATGCTGGCACAGTTTCAACTAAACATGGTTTGTATAATGTCAGTGTATTTCGTGCGAAGTGTTTTGAAGCTATTTTTTTTTAAGTTGAAGATAATTGTTCATTTAATTAACTCATGAACTCCCAAGTTCTGAAGAAAAATTCTCCCAACTGATAAGAATGTGTTTCTCTTGATGCCGCTTGTTCCGAGAATTCGATGTAACATTATGTTTCTAGTAAAAGATTATCCTCCAGTTTGGATTTTCCCTCATTGTTATTGACTCCATGTTTGTCGGTGTATTAATACCGTGAGGAAAATTTAAATTATGATCAGTCTTGGGAGTAAATGGGCTCATTTTAGCGTCTCCGTTTAGCGCGTATTTTACTTAATGCCTTGAACGATTTAATGCAGTTTCTATTGTGCTTATTTTTTTACTTCTTTGTGTAAGAAAAATATAGAGTGTATAAAATACAAAAACTGCGTTGATTTACAGTGTTTGTCTCCATATTCTTAGGATGCACGTAAGATGTAAAGAAAGCAGATCCTATGGGGACTTCAATGCTTGTTTTGACCCGCGCGCCAGGTTGATAATGTGTGCAGCTAACAGTGTACTAACATTCCATGTTTCAAACTCCCGCCCACTTAACAAAAGCGCGTCATCTCTTCGATTGTGTCTCTTTCACTGTCTATCGTTATCCGTATTGCCACACGGTTTTGAACGCCGACGGACGTGTTCGTACTGTTACATGTGTGCGCCTTTTTTTATCTTTTTCCTCACACAATTTTTTTCACCTTTTCACATTTGCGCATCCCTTTTTTTTCTTCTTTCTCTGGTTCCTTCCTTTTTTTTTTTTTTTTCATCACAATTTTCCTTTATTCCCATCTTTACGCGCACCTCTTTTATCGCCCTCAACTTTATTCTTCTGCGCTTCATAGGACGCAACTATCTCCTTGTCTGTTTCAGTTTTCACTCGTCTCAATCTTCGCGCAACGTCTGGCTTCTTACAACTCATATACCTCGTTACTCCCCCATAGTAGTTGTGATCATGCGTATTATGTCCACTTTGGGACGGTGTCCTCTTAAAGTCATCTCTAGTAAAATCTCAGTTTTCCTTTCGATTGATTCCTAGTCCACAGGGTGCCAGTGCTTGCTCTCCTCAGTCCTCTCATCATAATAGCAGTTACAAAGCGGAAGAGCTCCCTCCAAGTCTCGGCGACATAATCGGTGCGTTTAGTCGGAAACGAGTCCCTCAATGTCCAAATTAAGGCTTCTTCTATCATCTGATTGGGAATGGGTCAAACTCTCGCCCAGGGTCCACCTACAATGCGTATCCAAGATGGCGGCAGGCCAATCCACAGCCGGACTCTACTGAGTCGGTAGCCGCCATCTCAGATGTAGACGCAGAGAAGACCCTGAGGAAGAGTTTTGACAAAAGAATAATTGAGAAAGGATAAGTTACAATAGTGCTTAGAGAGATAGTCGATAACAACTTGAGAGATTCATTATGAGCAAACACGTTCCTTCGATTATTAAACTCCATGTCTCCTCGAATACGCACTCCTATATGCCCCTCTTCCCCGTCCCTATACATCCCTGTACTGCAAGGTTTATCATCATACAGCACAATACAACATTATACCCCTGAGTAGCACTGTAAATCCGTAAAATGCAGTAACTAGACAACGCTTCACAACAATATGTACCCCTAGATAGCTCTATGCTTCCCTCTACTGAATTTTAAATCACCTTACAGCGCTATATAAACAATTTCTCCAATTTGGCGCCAAAATAAGTGCGGATATTTGCGCGTGGTCATTTTCTCGAATTTTCTGTTCCAAGATGCGGAGACTATGGGCTTCGAGGAACAGATGACATCCAAGGACAAATATCCGTACATATTTTTTCGCAAAATAGACGCTATTGTGTTTTTTATCCTTCAAATATTTTGCAACGCACGTGAAAAATGTTAACGAACAGCTTACTGAATTGAATACTCGATGAAAACCTCTGCGTCGTTTAAAGAAAACACAGTATTTTCCAGCGCAGTCATGACTCGTCTGACGTGAAGATACAGAGATCGAGAGTTGATTACGGCTTCAAGTTTCAAACTCGTAAAGGCGGGAAATATGTCTTGAATTCTTGGGTTGAACTCAAAAAGTCTGAACCAAAATCATTCATGATTATCGTTATCAATTCTGAATGATTGAAATTCGATCCACGTTTACTTTACATAATAAATTTTACTGCCATTTTGCCAGTTATACAAAGAAATCAAGACACTGAGCAATACCCACAACAAGACACAGCTACAGTGTTGTGAATCTCCATCCTCATCTTCAATAGAACTATGCTATCACGAAGGTAGTGCGCGTGCGTTTGCATTTTTAAGTCACTTTAGCACAAAATAATGACCCGATTGGCGAGAATACAGGCTAAACACCCAACAGCGCTGGTGCTTTTTGTGTTTTGGCGTTTGCTCTCTAAAAAGCCCGAGAAAACGTTTTCACTGTCTATTAATTTATTGATTGTTTTCATTTCTCGGGTTCTTCCGGAACTCGGTTCTTAGCGACTTGTTCAAGTACTGCTCTTATTTAAGAGTGCTTATTTAACTCAGATCGAGATGCCACTATATTTTTCGACTATATCAACTCTTGGCACCCTAACATCAAGTTCACTATGGAAAAGCAGGTTAATCACAAATTACCCTTTTTAGATGTCCTGATTGACAACCATGACCCCAGTTCCTTTCTAACTAGGGTTTACCGCAAGAAAACTTTCACTGGGTTACTAACTAATTATTTCAGCTTCACCTCGTACTCTTACAAAGTGGGTCTCATTAAGACACTCATTGATAGGGCTTACAAGATTAATAGCACCTGGTTAGGGTTTCACGAGGACATTAACAAACTTACTGATATTCTAAAAAAGAATATTTTCCCTGCTCATTTAATTAATCGAGAAGATTATAAACCGTTTCATTACTGGGACGAAAAACAATCATCATCCCCGGGGCTCCCCTCCTACCACTTCACCTACGTTCTACTCTAAGCTACCCTACATAGGCCACTTTTCTGCTATCACTCAAAAAAAGATCCGCCATTTTATGAAGCGCTATTGCAATGACTTGGATATCAAACTGGTTTTCTCTTCCTTCAAAATCGGTAACTTGTTTGGTGTGAACTGAAGACCCTGTCCCTGACGGGCTCCGTTCACGAGTGGTCTATAAGTATGTGCTGGTGTAATGCCTGTTACGTTGGTGAATCCTACCGGAATTTTTCCACACGTGTTAGAGAGCACTTAGTACGTGACAAGGCCTCTCACATTTTCAGGCATTTGCAAGATTCTCCGCACTGTCGCGCTCTGTTTTTAGCCGATAACTTCCATGTTTTAGATCACGCTTCCACCGGTTTTCAGCTTAAGATAAAAGAGGCTATTCGTATTCAAAGAGAACAACCATCTTTGAATCAACAATTACACCATGTAAATCTAAAACTATCTTTTTAATTCTCACACTTGCATGCTTTACCTCTCTTGTTGTCCCAATTCATCTTAATTAGCATTGTTCTACTTACTATATAATTCAACTTTCAACGCTTTGTACAGTAATTAACTAAAGATGACAGAAGTTTCTGTCGAAACATGTTTTACAAACTCAAAAGTTTTGTCGCTTTCTTTAAATTCTTGACTTGCCTGCTAATGTCAAGACCCTTTAAAACACTTACCGTTTAAACACTTTCTTTCCTATGACGCTCTTAATACGCTCAATGAGCTGCCAAAATTCTCTTAGAATGCATTTTTGTTCGTGTGACAGCGGAATGTCTCTGATTCTTGAAGTCGATGTTGCCGTAGCAACTGAGACTTCTATTTCGATTCTGTTATTTCGCGAGACAAAACAACCCATGGCATTTACAGTTTGACTGTTAAACCTAAAATGAAGATGTGTAGACACTGGCTGAATAAATTAATGAATCCAGCTGCTTTCCCTTAAGAAAGCTGTCATACGCTGTGATGATGGGTGGTGTATTAAAACTCAGACGTTATCTGTGCAAAACGTTTGTCTTTATATCGACCAACATCTTGACTTGTTGTTCACACTAACTGAAAAGGGAAAAATTCCGAACTTCTGCTTGAAAAAACTGCCGTTTTGTCGAGAAAGAGCAGATATGCCCTGTCTCCACCAAAAGCCTTGATATTAAACTTAGTGATTCGTGCATGAGTGAAAATTGGAAAATTGTTTAACATTTTGACAGACAAGAACATACTGGCAACAACTCAACACTTCAGCTATAAATTTGCATTTTGAATATGATAATTGTGTCTTTGTACTACCAGTTAAGCTTCTGAGTTGTTCCCCTGACATGTCTCGGGCCTAAAACTGTCGCCGAACAGTCTCCCTCGGCGATTGGGCCTCTAGGCATCTAACCTTTCTCTATAGTGTTGGTACATGGCATTTGATGATGAGGTATTATGAAATGTAGTTACTATTATTAATTTGCAGATTTAATTATCAGCGATATTGATGGGAAACCGCTAATTTTCAAGCACAATTTATAGCCGCAAACGCTAATCACTCGTATTTCAAACTTTACTAGAACAAACTTGACACATTGTTGAATACGGTAACTGAAAATGACAAAATTACAAACACGCGAATGAGCATAAAAAAACTTACATCGTATGAGTGAAAGTACTGGAAAACGACAAAGCGAAATAAACAAGGATACTTACAAGACGAATGTGACCAAACCAAAGACGAAAACATGAAACCCAGAGCTAGATATGTAACGATAATTTTCGCAAACTGGACAACTAACCAAATAAATTACGCGCAACCAATATATATACGATATGCAAATAAATATAACAAGTACAAAACTGGTAACTGACAAAGGACACTAATGAAGACGAGAAAACACCAACACTAACAAAAAATGATAATACAAATTCTTGCGCCTACACAATTATAGTTCTATAAGTATAGACAATGTGCAGTTATACGCCATACTTGTGTAATTAAAAGAATTCATTTCGCGAACTTTCCTTCGTTCTTCAAACCACTAATTTTCTAATATTTATGCGGTACTTTCATAATTTATTCATTACAATTTCGTGCAAATGTAAAAGGTAGATTAAAGCTGGCTCGATCTGTCCTCATGGGACATCCGGTGAAAACGTGTGAATCATTACATTTTGGGATTTTAAATTACGCTTTGGCATTAGTTCATGTCTTGTGTGAGCAAATTTTTTTGGTTTGAGCCGATGAAATTATCTGCTGAGAACTTCTATTTACGATTTCTTGTTCAACCCGACAGAAAACAAACGAAGGAAGGAAACCGTGGAGAACACTTCTCAAGCTAAATCTTCACGCCACTAAATGATGTTTTACAATGTAAAAGGGAAGAAGAGCTCAAAAGAAACTTAGGAAAGAAAGCAGGCCAGGGACACGCTCCAGAGGTTCAAAAATGGTGACGATCTGAGTGGTAATTATAA